ACATTTTCCTTCAAAAACAAGATTTGTTACATTTATCGATATTTTCATTAATTTTTTCAATGGAAAACCCGAAATCTCAAAATCCACAAACAATACTTTACAAAAAGCTGAACTTAACAAAAAAATACAGTTTTTTATAGTATTTTTTCAACTCAAGTCTAAATTTAAAACAAATTTTTGTAAATAAATGTAATGATTTTGATTCAAAAATTTGCTTTAAAAACAAGATTTGTTACATTTATCGATATTTTCTTTAATTTTTTTAATGGAAAACTTGAAATCTCAAAATCCACAAACAATAATTTACAAAAGGCTAAACTTAACAAAAAATACAGTTTTTTTAATAGCATTTTTTCAGGTCAAGTCAAAATTTAAAACAAATTTTTGTAAATAAATGTAATGATTTTGTTTCAAAAAATTCCTTCAAAAACAAGATTTGTTACCTTTATCGATATTTTCTTTAATTTTTTAATGGAAAATTCGAAATCTCAAAATCCACAAACAATACTTTACAAAAGACTGAACTAAAACAAAATAAATACAGTTTTTTATAGCATTTTTTCAACTCAAGTCAAAGTTTACAACAAAATTATGTAAATAAATGTAATAATTTTGATTCAAAAATTTTCTTCAAAAACAAGATTTTTATATATTTTTTTTTAATAGAAAACCTTTTTGTTGTAGATAAATGTAATAATAAATTATTTTTTATAGATAAATGTAATGATTTTCATTTAAAAATTTACGTTATTTCTTTAATTTTTTAATGGAATATCCTTACGGGACAAAGAAAAACCATCCATTTTTTTTTAAATCAGCGCCCAAAAATATGATTAAAATTTGAATTTGTTATTATTTTACTTACTTCTTGTTTAATTTCTGTTTCATCATCCTTAACATCATGATATTTTTCCTCTTCGTCGTCTGACCCACCATCGAAATTTTCCATCGTCGTTTGTTTAAGAACAAGTGATTGTATGTTTGGTTTTTTGCCCATCAATTGTGAAACAAGATACAAAACACCACAGGCAAACGCAGGTTGCATCATTAAAGCCAACTAAAAAATTTGTTTAAAATTATTTGAATTATTATTTGAAATTATCGCACCTGTAACAGCCGCTTAACAAAAACTTTAACACGTGCTATTTCTGTATCTTTCAAAAGGGCTTTATAAATTAAACTTAACAACATTGCTTGATGAGTGGTTGTAAATAAATTTGAATCAATTAGTTTTTTGTAAAGTGCTGAGTAAAACCTGAAAATTAATTATTGAAAATAAAAGTAAAAAAAATAAGAAAATTTGCCTCACCGATCTGTTACATTATTGTGATGATCAGAGACTTGATATAACAACGAAAGGGCATGGAGACTTATATTAAAGTTCGCAATATGGACCACCCTGTACATGGTATCAATATGTTCAGAAATTTTTTCCAACTCTAGTTTTGCATAAGGATAAGCCCTGTTAACACCCATTAATAAAGCCGACATCATTCGACTGTTAATTTCACCCTAAAAAAAATATTGAAAATAAATAAAAATAAATAAAAATGATATTCCTTTACCTTTTTAATGCTAGCTTTAAAAAAAGAGAAATAAACTTCAATCAATCTTCTCGCGACTTCATTTGTTTCATGATCTAAATAAAACTGTGATAAAAAACATAAACCGTAATATTGAGCTTTTGGTGAAATATTTGAACGAAATAATAATTTCTCAACTTCGTTTAAAACAACTCCTTGCATGTTGGGGTGTTTAAATAAGAGCTGGCCTAGACTGTAGATGGCTTTTGACGCGACTTTTTGTGAAGGGTCGCCCAGTTTATTCACGAGGTATGTTAACAGATTCTGAAAAAAAAACATTTTCATTTATTTTCATACTGACCTAGAATTTTTTATAGAAATATTCAAACCTTTGAAAAATCTTTAAATGCAGTTGTTAAATACGTTGTAAGCCACTTATTCCCTGTCATTAAAATTATTAACTTTATAGTATAAATTATATACAGGGTGTTAAAAAAAGATTGTAAAATATTTAAGGAAAACGAATAATTTTCAATATCTTCAAGATCGTTACTTTGCGGATCCATCTTTGTTTGTTTTGGTCTATACCATTACCTCCTGAAATCTTTTACAATCTTTTTTAACACTCTGTATAATAATATAATACATAATAATAATATAACAGTATTTATACGGACTTTTACAATCTCCGGATAAACAGTGCTAGATATTGATAGGAATTGTTGCTACAATTAATATTGAATGTTAAATATCTTTTCATTTATAAATTCTAGACATTAAAAGTTTATTTTTTTAGTTAGACAATTTATCAATCTATCAGATGCAAAAATAAAAAAATAGGGTGTTTCATTTAAATTCCTTAAGTTATTTAACTTTTAACAAACTTCTTAATTTATTAATCTATACAAATGCAAAATACCAAAAAATTGTTACAACTTTAAGTTCTATACTTTCTTCTTTGCAGAAATAAGAAAAAAATTGTTCTAGTTGTCTTAGTTTTTGTGTAATGAATTTTTAAAAAGTGCATGTTTTTGTCAAAAAAAACGTCTTATTTCTAAAACTAAGCGAAATCGACTAATAAAACTTTAGTGTAAAAAGATTGTTTTAAAACGTATGGTGTTCCATTTAAAAAAACACAAGTTTTTATCGTAACTTATTTTTGGGACATGCTGTATGATTGAAAATAATTTTAGGTGATGCACTAGATGCAATGTCCTATACAATTTTTTTTATTTTACCATTTAAAAGTCACTAATGAACTTTTTGAACTCGCTGGGATTATATCAAAAAAATATTTAGAAGTTAAATAAACTACAAAAACACTATTAATAGTTTGAACAAAAAAACAACACTGTTAATTTTTAAATTTTGTAATACTCCTATTGCCGTATCAACAAGAAATTACTCTTTAAAATGTAGGGATATTCGTGAATAGGTTGGCATAAATTTGGTTAAGTTGGTTTCTGGTGACAAACAAAAGATATCGTAACTAGTGTCAAAATTTAGGTTAAGTCACATGTCAGTTTGTATGGATAATTTAATTGATAGTTGACAGCAGGTTGACAGAAAACGTCAATCGTCAACAACAAGGTATTCAAAATTACTTCTGAAAATTCTAGTTACAAACAACATGAAAAACGTAATTTTCCTAAAACTTCAAATCCTAGGTGGTAATTTCTTGTTGACAAATCTGTATTAGGTTGTTTCAAGTGAGGGCTAAGTCAGCGATCCCCCGTCGCAAATGAATGACAAAAGTTTGACATTTGAATTTGACATTTAAGGTTTCCAAATTAAGATTTTGAATTTGATGCCAACCTGAGAATAAAAATCACACTAATACAAATTTCTTTTTTTTTAGGTTTGAATGTCAAGAGTGATCAAAACTGATTATTTGAGTTAGCAATTCTGAATTTTATTTTTTAATGGTACTGCTTCCGGTTGTTGACAGTTTGACACTGACAGTTTAATTTGCATTGAGAAATTCTAAAAAAATGTCACTATATCAATAAAACTAAAGGCTAAATTTAACAGAAAAATACAGTTTTTATAAATTGTTCGGAAATTTCAAGACCTCTAAACATTTTTTAAATTCATGTTAAAGTTTAAAACAATTTTTAAAAACTGTACAGTTGCCGACACGAAATTTTGGACAATTTGTCATTCGATTGACAATTATGTGCAACTAACCTCACTTTCGATTTTTGTAATTTTTATCCTGACAGAGAAAGATTAAAATAATTTATTGAACTATACAAAAACACGTACTGCTGCCATTATTATATCGGAAAATCAACCCCAAAAATAAATTTCAACTAAAACTTTCAAATTTTAGTTTCAAACGTCAATCATAATGACAATAAAACGTGGCTTACATTGACAGTATGAGCTGACAATTTTTGAATTTGTCTAAAAGTCAATTATATTTTGGGCTATATTCAACTTTCTAATTTTAAATTAGAACCCGAATTTTTTCTTCATAATTTGAAGAAAGAATTAGTTTCCTTGGTGGGTACAGACTTGGTGAGGAAACAAGGAAGCTGTATCCTAAATTTAACGTTATTTGTGACTCTTATTGGCAAAATTTTTGTACCTTTACTTAATAATTATTATAAAAAAAACATATACAAGATTATCAGTGTCATTAAAAAGATGTCAAATTTTTTTGACAAATAAAATTAAAAATTTTTTTTTCCACGTTTCTGGTATTTTATCTCTGGAGTGCGAGTTCTGAAACACCCTAATCTTCTTGCATTTGCTGCTTTTTGACATTACAATAATGGCATTGTCTTATTTGACATCATGCAATTAGATTTGATTAAGTTTTAATACAATCATTTTTTTTAAACAATAATTTTTAATAAAAGTAAAACATTTTGCACATGTCTGTACTAAGAAAACTAATACCTCCCAAATTATGAAGAAAAAAATATAGGTTCCAATTTAAAATTAGAAAGTTGAATAGAGCCTAAAATAAACTATGACATTTAGAAAAATTCTAAAACTGTAAGCTTATACGACATTAAAAGCCATTTAATTAATTTTTTAATTTCTGAAATCAAACCATAAATAAAAAATCTACAGTGCGTTTTTTAAAGCATTTTTGCCCACTTCTTGTCTAATTTCTGTTTCATCAGCTTTGACATCGTAATATTTTTCTTTTTCACACATTTACTAACACAAATCTTCTTTGAGCTTTAATACAGAGTGATCAAAAATAATGATTGGCATTGACACCTTAATTCAAATTAAACAACAATCTTGTTAGATTAAAATATTGTCAAACAAGAACAAATCTGGTTGCAGTATTGCCAACTCAATCAGTCATTTTTGATCACCTTGTATAAAATTTGATGAAATTGAGAAATTTGAAGTTGTTGAGTTTTTTGGTAATTAATTATTATTGACTATTAATTATTTAGTGTCAATTAGCCATCGATATGACAATAAAAAGTCACAAACAAATTTTTAAAATTCTTGGGTTTTTTTTGCTACTGCTCATTAAATGTCGTTATATTTTTTGTTTTTATTCACATGTGGTACTTTGACAGTGTCTGGTGTTCGAAAACCTTCCGACACCCTCTTGACGTGTTACATCTGCGTGGAGTTTGACTTTACAACAACCCAAAAATGTGAATCCGAAAAATCACCAATTCAAACATGCCGATTCACTAAAGATTTATTAAATTGGAGTGATGTAGCACACAAACGTGATCCTGAAGTCAAATTCAAATGCTTACTACTGCACTACAAAGGTAATTAATAATTATCACAATTCATCATAAAATAAATACAAAATTTTCTAGATCAAAAAGACCACAAAGTAAAAATCTTTAGGGCTTGTGTAGGTGAATTTAAGGGTTATGAAGTTTGCAAAAAAGCCACTACTGCTTTAAAATATGAAGGTAAATTGACCTGTCAAGTGTGCAACACAAGCAATTGCAACTTTGGTGGGAGGAGAGTAGAAAACGCTTCAAGGAGACATTCAATGAGAATAAATGTAATATTTTTAACACTTTTAGTTCTCTCTCTCATCAAATAAACGCTAATTTACCTTTTCTTGCTCTGGATTTCCTGCTAGGAGCTTAAACATAGAACTTATGGCCTTTTCCTTATTGTTATCAAGTACATCATGAGCAACATTATTCAAAGCCAAGACAAATGTCGTATACAACTCTTTTAATTGGTCTTCAAAATACCAATAACTCAGTAGCTTTCTTCTAGTTATAGCATTGCCTGATGACAGTTCTTGTAAAAGCGACAGGGGGCGTTGATAAAAAGGTTTCAGTTTTTGATCAGGTCGCAACAAATCCGACAAAAATAATTCAGTCAAAGTATCTGTAATTTTATTATTAAAACTTGTGATTTTAAGCCCGTAACTCACCAATAGTTGTAATACATTCTTTCTTTTTCCCAACTTTAACCATGTTAACAAGATTTTGTAATGTGTCCAAATTACAAACTGGATTGTCTTGAATTGCAATTACAGACGCTGCGATTTTATCAGAGACTGTGCCTTTAGTCATGACCGTTTTCATCCACTTGTAATCAGAGTTATTTTTTGAGTTTTCTACAAAATTTCGTCATTTGAATTCAAATTGAGAGAATAAATAACTCACTGATGTTGTAATTTGCCACTTCAGAATCATGACACTTTTTCGCCTCTTCTTTCAATTCGATGAGAATTTGCTCTGTTACGGGTTTAAAGTCTTTGGGGGCTTCTGCAATCTAAGTGCAATGTGAGAAATGAAACAAAAAATGACATTAAAATACCTCCTCAAACCACTTATTCTTTTGAAAGGATTCGGATTCAGGATCAAAGTCTGTGGTTGTGCGGTTTTTCTTCTTCATTGTTCGAAAAAATACAACTATAACAAAACTTGAAACGCACCACTAAAAGTGGGGTTATGTTTAACACGTGTTGACAGTTGACATTTGACCACTGAATTTGACAAGGTAGAGCAGGGTTGCCAGGTCTAGGAATTTTGCCCGAATCAAGGGATAAAGGGATTTTTTCAGTTTTTTTACACAGTTTAGGGATTTTTTTAGAATCTTTAAACAATCTTTTGGGCGACGCTTTTTGTTTGTTTTTGTGTTCAAGATTTCAAGTTTAATTTTTTTTTTAATTCACATATGTACAAAAAAATTGTTAAAAGTTTGGTGCATTTATGTAAATTGGAGTGTGTTATAACAAATTTAGCAAGGTATGTGTGGCAGTTTTATTATATTTCTAACTATAAACTTTTTTGAAAAATGCGAAAATAAATTGTACTGTTTTTAAGATAACAGTTGTTTTAATTTCGAAATCGATTCTACTTTGTTAAAAAAAATGAACAACCAATATATATTTCTTTATGTAGTTTTATACTATTAATTGTATATACTTGCATGTATTCTTAGTTTTTATATTATTACGAATTATTATTATATGTAATTTTTATTAGTTTTTGTTTTCTTTAGTTAAATTAATAATATGTATTTAGTTTGTTCAGAATATATTTTACATTGATTGAGAAAGTTATGTTAAAAATGTTTAAATAAACTTTTATTGAAATTCTAATTTTGTTATGCAATTCAATAAACACTTAAAATTTAAATGGTTTGGCAGTTGCCTAGGGATTTCTAGGAATTTTTGACAACTAAATCTAGGGATTACAAAAAATTTCATGTGGCCACACTGTTATAGAGGTGTTCGGAAATTAATCAAACACACAAAATTACTACAATTATTTTAACCTGACACAATTTAATAAATAATAACATATGATTCATTATTTAAGAACAATAACGTGCCATATTGTTGAAATAGCAAAATTTGTACTTGATTGGTAACATATTTAGAAATAGCTGTATACAGTTTGACATTTGACGTAAACATAACCTCAAACAATAACTAGTTTTTTTACAATTTTTAGGTATTTAGGGCCATGACTTCAGCATTACAACAGCAAGCATTTGCGTTAGATGCCCGGTATAATGCCCACCGGGCCCCCGAGAGCCCCAATTTCAGTACGCAAACTTTCTCGTATTCACACAAGCATAACTAATTTTCCAGGAACTTTATACATAAGACGTCGAAGCCAATTACTGAGAGAAACTCAGAGAGACCCAGAAAAGTGGAAGCAATATCTTCGTGTGCGTTCCATGCTGTTGCAACAGCGATATGGGTCGTCAACAGTTGAGTCAACTTCATCAAATTCAGTACTACAGCCCCCTTTTTTGTGCCAATTTTTACAAGTCTGATATTGTAGAGTAGCATGTCAAGTATTGTGACACCACGGGGGCATTTGGTGCCCACTAAACAAGCAGAAGCTTCAAGAGCTTTAGTAGGGGGGACTTCAATTGCTGAAAATTATGCCTTTGTTGGGGTTCATCATATTTTTGATCAAGTATTCGTGCAAAATCCGAGTTTTTGGTCAATAATTGAGTTTTTTTCAGCATAGTGAAGCTGTTACAATGGTAAAGTTTGCCAATAATGATAAAAGTAAAATTTGTTGTGCTTCTTTAGACTTTACTTTATCTATTTGTGATGTTACAAGTGAGCCTCCTATAGTTTCAGCGATTTTGAGAGGGCACACCAAGGCTGTTACAGGTAACCACAATTAATTCTTTTCCTTTCATTTTATTGCATTAAAAAATTTCTGTAGGTTTTGATTGGTCAGCAAATAATGACTTAATTGTCAGTAGCTCTTTAGATGGGACTTGTAGAGTGTGGAAAGTATCAGATTTTAGCTGTTTGAGAATAGTTCAAGATTCTAACAATTCTCAATTTTTGTGCTGTATGTTCCAGCCTATTAATAACAACTTGTTTGTTGTATCCTTTTTGCATTACCTTTTTTTTTCAAATCTTATTTAGACAATCGGACTCAAAAAGTTTTCCTTTTTAATCTTGGAACAATTATACACTTTTTCATAGTAGGTTATAGAAGTCTAAATGCATCTTTTACTTAAAGGCTGATTCACACAAAAAGTGTCAATTCAGAATAAATTCAATCACATCAATAATAATAAAAAGCTTTATGTTTGCTATCTTATTTTAATTAAGTTGTTAATTTTAATTATTTTGGCTACCTATGGTACACATTTATTTGAAAAAATAATTTGTAAAGAAGATTGAGGTTAGGATTGTTTGAATTTTTGCATGGTTGCCACCTTAGAATGATTTGTTTCAACGACTACTTCGATGCACATTAATATTGAAAAGGAATATACCTCGGAGGGCTATTCAACAATTTTTAGATAGGGCGCCCCAGAATTTTTAGAGGGCCCAGAACAGTTTTTTTGAAAAAAGTCTTCGAACAGGTCGATTTTATTTTTTTAAAATGCTCTATTTTGACATTATAGTGACATTTATGTCATTTAACGACAACTGACATTTTTGTTCACTGTTTTACATTTCTATCTTTCTGGTAATAAGACAAAAAAAAATAAATGAATTAAAAT